TTTCTTCTGCATTTTTGGAACCTCCTTTTGTCTTTTTTTTTTCAGCAATTATGAGTTTAATTTCAAAGGAAAAGGGAAAAGCATGAAAAGAAGGGATTCTAAAGCATATTTTACTAAACCATTAATATACGTCTCAGGTATCTAGAGGAGCAAATTTGAACTTGGGGCAAAAATTAGTAGCCTGATAAAATGCATATTGTCATGTCTTAAACATATAGGCTATAAGAATTATTCTTCTAGTTAGCAAAGACAAAGGCATTTAGCAAATACAAATGCATTTCATATACGGTAGTGCATATGTTGAAAAATGCTTCTAGCCTATATAATCAAATTAAATCATTATTAAATTAATTTGGTAACGTATCTAGGTCCCAGACATGTTTTTAAGAAAAATATATATGCATATGCAGCTATATATACATTTCCTATGACAACCACAATTCTGTGTACAATACACTAACATTTATAAGACTTTTTCAATCATCGTTGATAAACAGAGACAGTTTTCCTTACGTATCCTAAAATCCATGTACCCAGCGTAGTTCAAATCAGGACAAGCCAAACCAAACATGATTCAAGAACAAACACAGGTACATGCAATTCTTAAAATTAGTTTTATTTATTATCTTAACATTCCCTCCTGTGTGGGCGATTGTTTTCTCTGTTTGTGTTTGTGTTTTCCCTTTTTGCCTTTTTTTTTTTTTAAAGCCTGGAAACTGCCACAGAAAAGTCTGGCAGCTATAACCTCCAGCTAACTACTAGCAAATGCTAACATGCTGTAAAGTGGAACATTTATACAAGATCCATCTGGCGCATACAAGTAGGAATCCAAGATTTAAAGCCGTTACACCATGCATATGCATTTACACCTTCACCAAAGTTGGCAAAAGGAGTAGATTTTACCCCATGACTCCAGTAGTAAAAGGAGGGGTGTGAAACGTGTGCTGACCTACACCCCTCTGTCCAATTGTAGTTACTATATACTGCCCTTTGGCATGTTATATCCCAGGCTTCGTGCCAGGAGTAAATTAGTCCAGTTCTGAACTTGCCTATCAGAAATTAAATAGTACAAGAGTGAAACACGCCTATAAAGTATTAGAGTAGCTGAGCATTTTCTTTTGATCAGTCTTACAGCTTTAAAAGGGCAGTCCACCGGGTCTGGTAAAACCAGCAATACTCCCATCAAAAGGATGTCTCAGCTGACTCTTTTTGCCAACGTAACTGAACAGTAAGGAGGAAAAAATGGCTTTCAGCTTTTTTGTTATTCATGAAGCTGAGGCTTGCTCAACCATATGCCTAAGATTTTAGTGTTTTTCTGTTTGGTACGTTCCCATCACCTCTGGCAGAGCAGACCTGGGTTTGTCAGCAATAGTTTGCTTTATTTTTGTGCAGGAGGCATGCAGGAAAACACGCAGGAATGAAAACGAGGTCTGCGCGAATCAATGGCCAACATAGCCATCATCATGACGGAAAAAGGGGGAGAAAAAGCTTGAAAGAAAAGGGTACATTTGCACTACCAGTGAAGTTTAGCTTCTTGTTCGGAAGCAAACCCTGGTGCTTAAGGCATTCATTAATGCCCTCTGCCGTCTGTCTCGCCGAATTTCAGTGAGCATCGGCAGCCTCCCCCCCAAGGAGAAGTCCCGGCCCAGGCAGCCGTTTGGGGTAACTGGGATTGCTTGGTTCGCGCGCGTTTCCCCACCTGCAAGGCGCAGCAAAGCTGTGGCTCCCGTTTACCGTAGCACACCATGGTTTCTGCACGTACCCCAAAACCTGGAGCCCGTTCCTCTGCAAGCACGGTTCCTTCCTCAGGCCGGTCATTTAAACACCAGGTGGCACCAAATAACAAGTTTCAATAAAGTGTGGCTTTTTTTTTGGTGTTTTTTTTTAAGTTGGTGAAAAGGTCTCTCAGAAATGTGTGATGGTGTAAAAAACAAACAATCAAACACCACCCCTCTGCATGAATCTGGGGTAGGTTCACCAAGAGCAATGCCTCCAGCTAGACGGAGGTGGGGAGAGGCAGGGGGGCCGCCTGCCAGCCTGGGCTCTCTCCCTGCCTCTGCAGATGCTCCCCCCCTGACCTGGCAGCAGTAACCATCTCAGTAGCTTGCAATGAACACATAGGCCTCTGCATTGGGTTTGTGTGGCAAGGTTTTGGTAGTGGGGGGCTAGAGGAGTGGCCCCTGTGAGAAGCTGCCAGAAGCTTCCCCTGTGTCCCATAGAGCCAATGCCAGCCGGCTCCAAGACGGACCCCACTGCTGGCCAAGGCCGAGGCCATCGGCAATGGTGGTGGCACCTCCGAGGTAACATAGCTAACAGGAGAAAAAAAACCTGCACAACAACAATTGCAGCTGGAGAGAGGAGTGAGAGAAACAAATCTGCAGACACCAAGGTCAGTGCAGAAGGATAGCAAGGAAGTGCTCCAGGCACCAGAGCCGAGATGCCCCTGCAGCCCTGGGTGAAGACCATGGTGAGGCAGGCTGTCCCCCTGCAGCTCAGGGAGGACCCCATGCTGGAGCAGGTGGATGCCCAAAGGAGGCTGTGATCCTGGTGGGAAGCCCGTGCTGGAGCAGGCTCCTGGCAGGACCTGTGGACCCATAGGGAAAGGAGCCCACGCTGGAGCAGGTTTGCTGGCCGGGCCGGTGACCCCATGGGGGACCCACAGTAGAGCAGTCTGTTCCTGAAGGACTGCACCCTGGGGGAAGGATGGATCAACGCTGGAGCAGTTCATGAAGAACTGCAGCCCGTGAGAAGGACTTGGGTTGGAGCAGTGCATGGAGCACTGTCTCCCATGGGAGGGACCCCACACTGGCTCAGGGGCAGAGTGTGAGGAGTCTTCCCCCCCAAGGAGGAAGGAGCAGCAGAGACAACATGTGATGAAGTGATCCCAACCCCCATTCTCTGTCCCCCTGCACTTCTTGGAGGGGAGGAGGTAGACAAAATCATGGCTAAAGTTAAGCCCAGGAAGAAGGGAGCAATGGGGTAAAGTGTTTTAAGATTCAGGGTTTTTTTATTCTCTCCTACTCTGATTTGACTGGTAAAAAATTAAACTAATTTCACCAACTTGAGCCTGTTTTGCCCATAATGGTAACTGGCCCCCCCCGGCCTGCTGAAGAGGGGAGTGATAGAGCAGCTTGGTGGCACCTGGCATCCAGCCAAGGTCAACTCATCACACCTTCCTTATTAACTGCTAAAAAGTCACCAGGCTTTTGAGTGGGGCTCTCCTTGCCACCAACATTGGCTAACACTATCAGTTTGAGCAGCAACACACCAACAAGAGCAAGGGCAGTACTTCAGGGGAGGAGAAATCATGCTTTTGAAGTGTGTAAGTGCAGAAGGGACATGCTGGACAACAAAAAGACATAGTTTCTAGGCTTACACAGGCATCCCAGAGTCCTGAGAGAACTGGCCGATGAAGTCGCCAAGCCACTCTCCATGATATTTGAAAAGTCATGGCAGTCGGGTGAAGTCCCTGGTGACTGGAAGAAGGGGAACGTTGTGCCCATTTTCAAAAAGGGGAGAAAGGAAGACCCCGGGAACTATCGACCTGTCAGCCTCACCTCTGTGCCTGGGAAGATCATGGAACAGATCCTCCTATTCAAGGCCAGGTTGGATGGGGCTCTGAGCAATCTGATCTAGTTAGCAGTGTCCCTGCTCACTGCAGGGGGGTTGGACTAGATGACCACTAGTGGTCCCTTCCAACCCTAAACATTCTATGATTCTATGATTTTACACTCTGGTCAGCCTGACAACTTGCCCTCTTTGCCATAGCCTAATGGCCAAATTTTGCAAACTGGTTCACAGTTACTGTGCTGGGATGGGGTAAGAAAGGGTGGTGCTTTCTCCCCCACTGAATATTGCTCAGAAGACCAATAGCACAAGAAGATGAACTGGCTGATTTGCTTTTATCAACGTTTCCATACTCAATTACAATTTTAGAAGCAGTATAACTGTACTTTGTATGAGAACCATGTGGTGTTTTACAGAATCATAAAATTATTGAAAGGGACTTTTGGACGTCACAGGCTGCAGTCCTCTTGCTCAAAGCAGGGCTAACTGAGGTTAGACCAAGTAGTTCAGTATCTTTTCCTGTGAAGTTTTAGAAACATCTGAGGTGGAAATCCCAGAGTATCTCCAGCCAGTGTGTTCCAGTTCTCAGCCACTCCCATATGCAGTCAAGAGTTTCCCTTGTTGCAACTTGCCAGGCACTTATTAATACACGCTCCTGGGAAGAGCCTGGCTCTATCTCCTCGATGCTCCTCCCCACCTCTGGAGGGTCCCCCCCAAAGCTTTCTCCTCCTGAAACTGAGCAAACCCAGCCTCTCCTCATGCATCACCTGCTCCAGCCCCCAAACCACCCTGGCTGCTCTCCGCTAGCCTCTCTCCAGTTTGCTGCCTCCCCCTTGGACCGTGGAGCCCCAAACCCCAGATGCAGCCTCACAAGCACTAGGAGGGGAATCATCTCTTGCTCCTGTAGCTCAGCAGATGTCAGGCCTTCACCAGCAACAGGGCACAGTGCCAGCTCATGCCCAGTGTGGTCTGCCAGCACCCATATGTCCTCCTCTGCTGCTAAACTGCCCAGGGCTGGTCCATCGCCAGCACACAGGGGTGCATGGTGTCACTCCGGCCCTGCTACATGGCTGCGCATTTGTCTTTACTCAACTTCTCGAGGTTGGTACTGCCCTGTTCCTCCAGCCTATGAATGTCTCACTGAACAGCTTCTGGGGCCTCCAGTGGATCAACCAGGCCCTCAGAAAACATTCTTGTTTAACAAAATCAAAAATAATTGGATTAGGAAAAATACTACACAACCAGGACTAATGCAGAACACTGTTACCGGTTAGGTAGCCATAAATCTCTATACTGATCGCAGTGAAGTTACTTCAAATTTTCATTGATGTAACCAATAAAGTTATTCTGGTTGGACTTTGTGTGTGTGTGTTTGCGTGCGTGGGCAAGAAAAGCACACCTGAAGACCACCATGTGAGCGGTTGAGAAGCTGCAGTACCGCTGTAGGTGAATTTCCAAACCCAGGGAAAGGGAATCCTGATTACACAAAGTTAATACAGTTATTTGAATAATCATCTTTTACATGCCACAGGTGTTCAATCTGATGCCAATTATTTAATTTCATTTCCTTTGCGGGATGCAAAGGGGAGCAATTGGAATTTATATACTCACATCTTGCCACTGGACAGAGGTTGCTGGTAAACTCACAAGCAGAAACTTAACCCTGATGCTTCCTCAGGTTTTCACTGTAAAAGAAGTTCAAGCCATTATTAGAGATTGTTCAGCGGATGGAGCGTGGCTCCCCCTCAGCGGGGGGGGAAGATGCGACCCATAGGTACCAGCTCTTGCAGGCTGTGCATCCCCAGAGCCCCAGGGCAGAGCAACAGGGAGGCACAGACGTTCTCCACAGCTATGCATTGGGAGGCAGGATAAAATATGCCATATTATCAACAAAAATATGGATGTTTTTACTATATGCACATGTGGTATGACCATTAACACTAGCAAACTCACCCTACGGACAGGTTCAGAGTTCTCAAGATGCAGTTTCTCCAGGCAACAGCAGGTTTGGGGGTGTGATTAGCACAGTCAGAACAAGCAAAAAACCAGCACAAAGTCATGGACACGTCCCACCTGTCTGATCAGCTAAAAAAGTTGTGTACAAGTCAGGCTTTAACTAATAAAAATAATTTTAAAGGAGAATTCATTTTGAAAAACTTCAAGCAGCCTGTTTAAGGAATTTCAGTAAGGAAAGCCAGTTCTGTACTTTAATACTTACCACTGTGTTTTGCAGCTGAAGTTGTCCAAAGTTAATTACATAAACCTCACTGCTTTCTGATACAGTAAGGAGGTACATTTTCTATGCAATGTGTTTCCTGTGATGCCTCGTCTTTCCTTTCTGTTTTATGCTGCTGGGGTACAAGTCAAATCAGAGGTGGAGACCATGCCTGTCAGACTCTCTGTATGCTAGACCTCTGTCAGACCTTTAACCGGGCAGGCCATGAACCTTTTAAAATGTTTTCTATCATAATGAGCAATCAGGTAGTGGTCTCGAATTTTGTGTTTTTAAATGACAGAATTGGCATCCTTCCTAGATTCAATAGCATTAGGGGTACTCGCGCTCTCTCCACCGCTGAAGAGACAAGTGCGTTACTGAAACTTCCTTCCTCTACGTAGAGGCTCAGGAAGGATGGAAAGTGTGATGCAATTTTGCAAACTTCAGACTTAATACCTGCATGTCAGGGTTACTGTTTAGGGTGAAGATGATGATGATGGGCATAAGAAATTGAATACCAGCTTCAGTAAATGGTAACTTTTACATTTTCTTCTGTGGCAGCTGTGTTGTTCTCTGCTGGCCATTAGTATCTAAAGCAAGTAATGATTTAGGTTATATTTTTACTTTTGACAGGGCAAAAAATGTTTAAAGGATCTATTTTTAAGAATTCCTTATTAGCCAGATCTTCCACTTACCTGCTCTGAAACTGCCTGTCTCACCAAGAAACAAATTCTGCTCTTCCTCCATCCACACCTACTTCCATAAAGATATATTAAAATAAGCAACTATTACTTACATGAGTAAAAGGTTGCAAGACTGGACATCAGTCACACAATATGGAGAACTGGGGATCACATGCCTCTGATAAAAGGTCAAGGGCATATTTCTACAAAGCATTTCTTGTTCAAGCAAGTCATATAAAGACCGTTTCTTAGAGAGCTACCCACATGAACAACGTGACAAAACCAGATTCTTGTGTGTTATGTGAACTTCAGTAATTTCAAAGTTATAGCTCCTATGACAACAATATGGTGTTTACCTGCTAGAATAAAAAATGATTTTTTTAAAAAATTACTTCACATTCTACAGAATTTTGTTACAGCTTCTCATTTTTCTTTTTAACCAAACCCCCCTACTTTTGAAAAGAGATTGGTGTTTAATAATGCATGCATTAAACTAGCAGACCTAAAAAAAACCCCAAACAACCAGGGCTTTTGTAGCACCATTATTTCATTAGAATGTAAGCTGCAAATTTAAGCAGTAATGGGCCAGAGTTACAAAAGGGCTTAATTACTTTAATCTAAAACTTTGGTCTAAAACCCTCTTTATCCATCCAAAGCCTAGCATTCCTCCCAGTGCTCACCCTCAGGGTCCGGTCCAGTCTGTGTCCTCCAGACCACCAAACAAAACATGGGCAGTGGCAAGGGGAACACTACGTTTCATGCAATAGCTCACCCACAATGACCACAAAGATCAGCCCGGGTGGAATTAGTTGTGCTTCGGTTTGCCCATCTAGAACAGAGACGTTTGATCTGCAATTGCCAGCTCATCTTACCTGTAATGGAGACAAGTTACTCTCTCCTCTTTCC